CAAAATTAGAGAGTTTGTAATAATCAAAGATTTGAAGTAAAGCTTCCAAAACATGACTAGGACATGACCAAAAGGTTAAAGTGTTGATTCTATAACATGCTACACAAGTGCATTCAAAATGCCTCAAAAATTCAACAAGGGAAAGAAACCAAGCTCTATTCATGATTAGAACTAATTCAAGTAATAGGGATCAATCACTCTCAAGTCCTCATGAGACTATCATTTAAGTATCATTTCCCTTCATGTTATCATTGGCCATTTAATGACCTCAAACTCAAATTGAAAGCTCAAGTTTCAAAGTAAAAATCAACAAGAAAGCAAAAAGTCATGAAACATGCATCAAAAGGTTCAATCGTTCAAACATGGGGCATTAAGTGAAATGACTTGAGTTTATATGGATAAACAGAACCATCATGATCATTAGGTGCCCAATTATAGGCCTCACTCAAGTTCATTGGCCATCAAGCAAATTGCAACAACATATGCAACATTAATTGGGTACCTTCACTTTAAAAATACATCAAAAAAAGAAAAGGGCTTCCATAATTCAAACAAAAAATTTCTTAGCATCCTTGAGATGTATAAGAGTCAGCAAACATGTTTTAAGTTCATGTATGTATGAGTAAAGGATCAATCAAACTTCAAACATGAAAGACTAGTTGGCAAAAACCACCAAACTAGACAAGTTTTCCAAATATTTTGTGGAAAATACCAAACCTTATCAGTTAATTCAAGAACAATATTTTTAAGGACCTCAATCCATCTACGAACCTTAAACAAGAACTAAATTCAATCGAAACTCAAGGCTAGTTGCTTTTTGGAATCAAAACTAACAAGGGAATTAGCAAAACCCTAATTATTTAGAAAATAAACTCAAGTATTGATTAATCAAATTCCAATTCTAAACAAATCAAACTAAAATCATACAAAAATAAAGAAAACTCTAAAGATCAGAGAACTTTTTTTTTAAAATTTTTAGAATTAAAGAAAAGTCAAAAATAAAAATCAAAATTCAAACCTTTAAACAATTAAACAAAAATCCACATCTCAAAATAAAATTCCAATCAAAAGTCAGAAAAATATCCAACCAAAATTATATTCAAATATTAGAATTAAAAACCAGCATCCATGATTTTTTGTGGAATTTTTGAATTAAAAGAAATATTAAAATAAAATCAAACAAACAATTAAACAATTTAAACTATTATTTAATGGCAAAATGCAAACCCTAGCCAAAAGTCACAAAAAGGTCAAAACAAAATTATATTCAAACACTATGATTAAAAACAAACTTATATGATTTTTTTTAGGATTTTTGAATTAAAGGAAATATTAAAACAAAAATTATGAAGCAAACATTTCACATAAACTTCTCATATTAAATTTCTAATCAAAAATAGAAAAAAAATCTAAACCAAAATCAGAATCAATTTCTAAATTATTTTATGAGTCAAAGATGATTTTTGTGGAATTTTTAGATCAAAATCGATATTAAAATAAAAATAATCATTGAAGAAACAATTAATTAAACTTATGAAATTTTAAACCAATCAAAACATTTTTTTAAAATTCCAATAAAATTACACAAGATAGCAGAATTTGTTTTGGACTTGTGATAATTTTTTCAGAATTTTTTAAATTGTTTTGATCAAGAAACAAAAATCCGAAAATCAAATGAAATCAAAATATAAACTAAAATTCAAAAATTCAAATGGACCGTTCAGATGATGACACCTCATCATCCCTAACCTCCAGCCAAACCAGAAAACGTGCGCGCCCATCAGTGTTGCACCCCAACTTCAGTCCTTCCAAACAAACTCGTTTCTCAACCATTTTTCATCAAATCAAGTGCAAATCAAAGCTAACATATCATACTACATTATGCAATTCGAATCAATCTCAAAGATCAAGCATGGATCAAGAAATAAAGTCTCAAAAACTGGAAAAACACATTGTAAATACCAAAACCAAAAACACAATTTCACCAATTCTGCTTGAATCAAAGCTCAAATATACATCAATCCTAATGATTAGCCAGCTAGCAACTCAATGAACATGATCTACATCATCAACTCAAGCTTAATCATGCAAATCAAAGTTCAAGAAAACTCACATTGATGTGAAAACTGGAAACTCGATTTATTCACTCTAGAAGCAAACCAATGGTGCAAGCTTGATCTCCTTACTTCACTGAATCTGAACCACCGAGAATTTTGAAGAATGATCCAAGGAGAAGAGAGATTCGAAGCAATTTGCAGAGATACTTGAAAAATTTTAGATCTGAAGTGTGGTGACTATGAACCTCTCCCCTTTAAACTGAGCCTTTATTTTTATTATATAGCACGAGAGGAAGAGGATAGAAGTGGTATTTAGTCCTCAAAGCCGTTGGAGGGCAAGTTTGGTAGTTTATGCAAAAAGTGAGATTGCACATGGAGCCTGCGTTTCACTCGTGCAAGCTCTCATTTTCTTTGCGTTTTATGAGCCAAATGAGGTCAGAAAGCCATGCTCAAAGTTCCAGGTCATGACTACTTGAAATGAGAGAGTGTTGATGAATTTGCAAAATCGGGCAAGTTTGTGATTTTTTCAATCAAACAAGTACAATATCATATGAGGCACGAAATGGTGAGTGTAATGGGCCTCATCATGTTACAAATTGGTTATGGGCTTGATTAGAAACAAAAGGAATGGCTGAAACTCGAGTTCTCAAGAAATTGCATTTTGCTTGCTTGGTCAAAATTCAATAAAATGCCTCAAAATTCCAAAGCTCATAACTTGCTCATATTTTTGAATTTGGACACAAATGAGTACAATTTGGAAAGGTATTGAAAAGATCTACAATCCCTTGGTTTTGAGTTTTTGCAATTGAATCCATTAGGGCCCTCAAAATTTGACATGAAATTCACTAATTTTGGAAAATGACCTATAATTTTTACTTAAGGCATGAACTTCCAAAGACCATAACTCTTGACTCTTTGCCAATTTGGACATGAGAACAAAAGGAGATGAAAGATCACCATCTTATATTTCCAAGCATATTTCATTTGCATTTTTTTGATCAAAGGTGAATAAAATATGAATTTTTGAAGTTAAGTCCTCATTTTCCAAAATTAGAAACTTTTAGGGTTTCTTCATGAACAAGTTTCAACCCAAACCTCAATCTTTTTGATCCAATGATCAAAATGGACTTGAAATATGAAAATTAAACCCTTGAATTAATGGTTGACCAAAAGTTTACTTGGTCAACCTTGACTTTGACTGATTTTGACCAAAATGACCATTTTGCCCCTTTGAATCAATTGATCCACTTCCCTTCAAAATTGATGATCAAGACTTTAAACATATGATCTTCCAAATATATAGAGGCCATGTACAAAGTTTCACTTCAAAATTCTCAAGAAATATTGATAAAATCCCAAGCCCTAGTTTTGGTTAACACCTTAGGAGATTGATGAATCATCTTCAAAACTTCAAATCCTCTGGATATCTTGGCCAATTTCTTGTACAAAGACTTTTCAAATACCAATGAGATGTTGTAGCTTCCAGATCAAGATTTGTACATTGATCAATAGCCTTTATCAAACAAAACCCTAATTTTGACTAGTGAATCAAAAGAGTGATTCCTTTTATAATCAATCTCAAACTTCAATCCTCTGATGATCCAAAGAGATGGATAAAATATCTTGATATATGCAAGAACTTTTGATCTTGAAAGATCCAAAGGTTTAGATAATAAGGTTCTACTTGAGAAACTTGTCAATGCAATCAACCTTCAAAACTTGAGGAAGACTTGATAACCAAAGTATTTTGATCCCATCACAATGTATGAATGCAATGCAATGTGATATTCATGATGAAAGATTAGCCTAAATCAAGAGGGTAAATTTTGGGGTTCAACACGCATATATTCCATTAGGTCACTAACATGGCATACATTTACATTCAATAAGGCACTTGAGGTTCGAAGGTGAAATGATCATGCAAGATAAGGGTTTCATAGGGTTCTGAGACGCATATATCGAATAATACTGAGTCGTTTGTTTCCCCTCTAAACATTGAATTGGAAAATTATGGTTTTCTTGGGCCTTGAGGTTTTGTTCCTTCATCAATTTTGGTCTGAGGAATTAGGGTTTGTGATTGCGGCCATTGAAGACTTATTTCTTTCTCATCAATGGTTCTAACTGAGAAGATTGTGGACTATGGCTTTAGTGTTAAGTTGATTTTTCATTCAATATTACATCCATGGCAAGAAGACTAAATTTGCATCTCAACATAATTACTGGATATCTATTATAAGATTCTTCATGGATTTTGTTTTGATAAAGAACCCCAAAGGAAGAGAGATTTGGTTAAGTCAAAATATTTTATTGGAATATTTGTAAAGTATAAGTCATGATATAAAGAGAATGTTGGGGACTCGGATTGTATGCAAGGCGTAGTTATTATTTGATTTGGATTTTGCGATTAGAATGGGCAAGTTGATTTGGATCGAAAATTGATTCAAGTGATTCCATAAACTCCAATTATGTTCAAGAGGTACAAAGTATCATTTTGCTTAAGATGTCAAGCTTACAAAATTGGAATCCAAGATGTCATTACAAAGGCAAATGCAAGATGCATTATTGTTCAAAGAACTTTGGTCCTAAAGACAAGGCTTCTTTGTTATAAAATATGGAATCGAATTCATTTTTATGGAAGTTACAAACCCATTGTGTTCTTACCATACAAGCTACGATTTTGGATTTATTTTGATACTTGAAGAACTTCATTCGAAAAAAGGAGAACTTGAATTCAACTAGAAAAAGAGGAAAAAGATTTCAAGAACAGTATAAGATGTTTGATTTACAAACCAGTATAAATCGAAATATTGTTACAGTATACATGTAAAATTTTCTAAGTCCTAAACCAAGCCTCTACAAGCATGTCAATCATAAAACTTCAAAATAAGGCCAGGATCTTTGTTAATTCCTCTCTAAATCGATACGAAAACTCAAGAAAAGTTGTTACTTCCTGCTAGAAATGGCACCAGAGACTATGTTATAACCTGCACCGGTTTAAAATCAGAAAATAAGTTCAACAGAAATGAAAACAGAAAAGAATTAACTCGGAGGGAAACAACCCTGCACAAGCCCGACACGTTTCAGAAAAATCAGCAAAATAACTCAACTCCTGATTCAAGACAATTCATAAATATTAATTGACAAGCAAATATATCAGTACAAAGCCTGAAACAGTTACACATTAATATTCAACTCTAAATAGCACCTGCAAAAGCTCCTAAGCAAGATGAAAGCAAGGAATCTCTGAATAAGGCTGTTGCAGTGCTATCCCCATCAAAAATTCCTTTGAAAATAGAAACAAAGGCCTATTGTCTTCATGCTCACTTTCCAACCAAGTGAAGCTTAAAGTAGCTACTATTCATCCTAATGTGATGTGGACAGAGAAACATCGACCTACAAATTCAAAGGATATCATCGGGAATCAGTCACTTGTTTTACAGCTTCGAAATTGGTCAAAGGGTTGGCATGAGCAATTTTTTAACACAGGTGGTAATAAAAAGAAAAATAGAAACTTCCAGCAGAAATTAAAAAAACAGATCCTAACCGAATTCCCAAGGTTCTAACAAACAGTTAAACAAAAATAGTCCAAATCTGAACAGAATATTTAAATATTGCAGAGCTAGAATGGTTACCTGTTGCAAAAAATCCAAAGCCCGATTCTGAAGCAGACAAAGGCATCAAAGCATACGCGCATTAGCACAAGACCTGACCAACATTTAAGAAGAAGCCCAAAATAGTTCACAGACCACTGCATTATCAAACAATTGAAACAAAGCCAGTTCACTAACAGTATATGACTATTTTTCTAACAGATTTTCTAACTGTTTCTAACTCCCCCCTAATCTCCTAGTTAACTATAACTAACATAAACTAACAATCCATAACATAAATACACAACTGCCTCAACCTTCCTAACCATTTTTTCCCTAACAGAAAATCCCATAATAACCTCATAACCCTCTATCAAACCTCTAACTGTTTCTAACACATTCAACAAACTTCTCAACAGAAAAAACTTTCAACAGATTAATTCAACAAAATAACAGAAGGGGAGAGAAGAAGAATTCAACGGATATAAACAGACAACAGAATTCAGGAGGAGGAAAAAAATATTCACGACTCATTTTCTATCAGGGTTCATAAAAGAAACAAAAAAAGTACACAAATACTCACCAGAATCTCTCTATCTCTCGGAGAACCGAGTTGAATCTTCTTCAAATTTCATCAATCCTTAAAGCTTCTAGAATCCTTCAATTTGCTGTAACAAACTCCATATAAGTACCTTCAATCATCATCTCACAAACCTTCAACCTCCACCATTTTCTCTGCACCTTCCTCGCATCACTCCATCACCAATACTCCCTATTCTCTGCATCATCATCAACAAATCATCTTCAACATTGCAAATTCTCCGATCTTGATCGCAACCATCACTGTAACGGAATCAACTCACCAATTTCATCATCATCAACTTGTTCAGCGATTTCAACCGTAACTACCACAACTAAGCACATCAACAACAACACGATAATCATAAAAAATGAAAACGAAGGGGATCGATCAGAAGAATTTCTCAGAATAAACAAGTAGAAGAATAAAGAGTGAAGAAACAGAAATTGAGTCTACAGAAGCAAAGAACTGAAAGGCTTACAGGTTCGTCCGAGATTCCTCAACTTCGCCGTCGCTGAAGAACCATCGGAGTTCTCCGGTAGGTAAGCTCCAAAATCCTTTTATCAATTTCGCTTTTCTGTATGTGAATCTAGGAATGAGATCGAAATTGGAGGAGGTTGAGAATCCACGAATCCGAATTGGAGGCAGAAATGAGATGAAGTTGAAGACGGTTATTTGGGATCATGGTGGTGATGGCGGTAATATCGCCGGAAATCGTGATTGGGAGATGAAGAAGAGATATTTGCAGGGAAGGTCAATGGTCACAACTTGAACCCTAGCCTCCCATGAAACTCACCGTTTCACTTCCTTTCAGTACCTCTTTAATTAATTTTATTTATAATTAGCCTAATGATGCTGATTAGTTTTTTAGTCATGATATTAACAAATAATAACTATGTTATAAGTGGATTGATGGTGTTCAAAGGATGGATAGAAAATATCTCATATTCAGGCCTATCATCATGATTTTGGTATCCCTTGGATCATACACAAAAAATAGCTATTGGATTCATTTTGTGAATGGGCTTATTGCCTCATTCTGGATTTACTTGCAGCATATCTGATCAGTCCATACACCCCCTCTGTTTAGAGTTTGTTTAGATTTTTCTCCAGTCTTCTTTTCTTAATTTCTTGATAATAATATTAAGAGTAAAAATTGATGATAGAGATTATAAATATCAATAAAAATTCGTTTTTTACCGATCTAAGAACTAATTCACTAGTTTTGGTAGTTTTTATGACAAAAAAAAATTAAAGAATAGTGAAGTATAATAGATTTTTTCTAGGAATTAATTGTTCAGTTTTTTTTTGGAATTTTTCTTATACATAAAAACTAATAAAAAATACTTTTTCTCTTTTAGTTTTTTATCTACATTTTCGTGCCGCTTTGCCATGTTATATTTTGACGCGTTTGTTCACTGTGTAAGGTATATTGTTTGTGCTTTTGATCATGTAACATAACAAGTAGTTATGTGATTGAAGCATACGGCTTATGCTCGCTACTGATGCGACGCGCCTTATTTCTCATCATCTTGAGAAATTCATATCGTATTGTATGTTGTCCTGATACATGCGATACTTTATGATATCTTGTGCAGGAATTTCTGATCACGTGTTGCATTCGCAACATGCGTTTGATTTTATCTTAGTTGGATATCATTTATGACTTTGTTTATTTCTTGGTGAAGCTTTCTCAACGCGTACTCCCTGCTCCTCCATTGCTTCCGTCCGCACTTGACGATTTGCACGCTTTGGTAGTCGCTGCTACTACCTTCGTACTTCTTCGCACTTTACTATATTTCTTTACCGCTTTTCTAGATACCATGAGAAGTAGGAAATAAAGAGCGTGCGCTCGAAGTCGTTGTTTAAAGACCTGTAGCAGGCATTCCGCACTTCATTTCCTATATGTGTTATACTTATGATTTTTCTTTGGTTGTTGATCGATGAGTCACTCAATTTAGGAATTGAGATCACGACTTCGCTTTCAGTGCATGCTCCCTATAGGATTTTATCGCTTTCCTTTATTTCTTGTTGATCGATGAGTCACTCAATTTAAAAATTGAGATCACGACTTCGCTCTCATTGCATGTGCCCTATAGGATAATTTTGTTAGACTTTCTTTGGCATGCTAACCTAGATAGGATCTCTTTAGGTGTGCTCTCTTGAGTTTATTGGCTTGTTTTCTTTAGCCTTGTACATACCATGTTCCCTTAGGACGTCCTTGCTCCCTTTGGATGCAAGTTAGAGCTTAGGTTGCAAACCATGCATGCTAACATTAGGTAGAGATTTCCCTCTTGTAAATCCGAACCTTAGGACTACCATTGTATGATAACATTAGGTTTATAAATAGGCTAGTCTCCCATAGATCTTTTCTTTCCCCTTTTGCATATGCATCTAAAACTAAAACTTCTTTTCTTAGCAAATCAAAAACATGCTAATCATACCTAAACCCTTTTTCAAGGTAATAAAACACAAACCAATTCAAACCATTTTGTGTGCTCGAGCACCTTTTCTCAGAAAACCCTTTTCAGGTAAGGATATAATTAATTTACTTATGTGTCAATGCATAAGTCTCCAAAGGTCGAGCTGCGGAAGAAGACGGAATTAACACCGTCCATAAAAAACACAAAACAAATAAAAACATGTGAGCCGAACTACGGTAGCTCTTATTCCTCAAAAAGGATACGTAGGCATTGGGGTAGGGCCCAAGCAAGTACAACTTTATTTTCCCTACATTCTTTCCTCCTTTATTTTACATGCATTCTCCCTTTAGCAGTAATAAACAGTAAGCGTAGATTAAACACAACCATAAGATAGACAACAAGAGTGGATACCATAGAGTACTACGGGCGTGTGGGGTGCTAATACCTTCCCCTCGCGTAACAGACTCCCTTACCTGATCTCTCGGTCGCAAGACCGTGACTTCTTCCTTCTTAGGTTTTCTCGATGTTTACCTTTCCCTTCATGTGGGATAAAAGACGTTTGATGGTGAATTTATTGTTTGATGATTTTCAGCCGATTATTTCAGCATTCTAACTAGATTCTGTTATAAAATCAAAGGTGAATGCTCTAACAATGAGGTTGAGTATGAAGCCTTAATAATTGGTCTTCAAATTATGTTAGACGTTGGAATAAGAGATACTGATATTAAAGTATACCAAGAGGAATTAATTTTGTTGTACCCTAAAATTTTCCATCTCTTTTCTCAAGACATTTCTCACCAAAGATCTCAAGTGCTCAAGGATTCTCAAGGGTTGATCAGACAAGCTCGCCTCCTAAGTACTCAGACCATAAATTAGGGTTTTGGTTTTCTCAAGGGAATTTGTAATTTTGATACCTCAAGTGACTTTCATGATCCATCATGGGTCTCCAAGAATGCTCATACCAAGTTTCAAGTCTTGCACCACAAATGTGCTCAGTCAATTGCTCAGGTGACTGAAAATCAGTTGTATTAGGTAAAATGTCAATTATGGTCGACATACAGTCAAACTTCATGATTTTTGACCAACATAAATATTTTGAAGTAATATTCATCAATTTATCAAGGGTTGATCATAATTCCTCAAGAAAAGCATTTAAATCATCAAAGGGGAAAAATTGTTAAAATTAGGGTTTTGACTGAGAATGACTGATCATTAACTTTTGACCTAGTACATGACCTAATGGCTTAAATAATGATCTCAAGGACTAAAACACAACATATTGACCTAATTTCATGGCTCAAATCATTTCTCAATATCAAAGGATTGATAGTTGAAATTTGGATCACCTGATGAAAAGTCAACTGATACACAAAAAGTCAAACTTTGACTTTTTGGTCAACATTGAATTTCAAAGATCAAAATTCATCAATACATTTAAAAATGTCAAACTTTATCATCAAGAATCAAGAAAGTCAACAAAAAGTCAAAATTTTCAATACTTAGAAAAATTCCAAGTGTTTTTTACCCTTAATAATTTCACTACTTCATGACAATTTTTCACCAAGATGCAAGATGATTCAAGGAAAAATTTCAACATGAAAGTTGTAGATCTTGATGAATCCTACAACTTTGTACTTAAGGTTTGATGTCCAAAAAATTCTTGGATTTGAAGATATAGGCTCATGAAGTCATGACAGTTTTGTATAAACACTTAGTGAAATTTTCAACAAGTTTAGGCAGATTTTTGTCCTAACTTTTTGGCCAATTTTCACCTAGTTCCAATCTAATTTTTCCAAAGTGGTCAACATTAAATTTGTAGACAGTGTTTCAAGCTTTCCAAAATGTCCAAGAACCTGAAGATATCATGCTTGATCTAGGAGAAGCGAAGAGAAGAAGTTGAGCATTCATTCTTGAATTTTAAGTCATTTTGTGATGAACCTTATGATACAATGTTCAAGTATGTTGCATAATCTTGCTTTGTAGGCCCTTTAACCTCTAAATCTATCCATAGTCAGTTGATTACACAAACTTTTGAGCCATTATCCAAGTGATTCAAGCATTATCCAAGTTACATTACCATTTAAGGAACAAAGTTCACACTTCCATTTTGGAAAAGTGACTTTAATCACAAAGTCAACTTGTCTTGAGCCTCTAACTTGTTTGTTCTGATCACACTCAACATGTATGCTCAGAAACAATATGTTTAAAGTTCCTAACAACCTTATAAGCCCTTGTACCATTGCATTGGAACAATGTTTGTCAAAGTTGCTTCAAAATCAAGTTTCAAAACCATAACATGTGATCTTGTGAATCTGATTATTTCAGA